GATTAATCGATTAATCGAAAAAATAATCAACAGATTAATCGATTATTAAAGTAATCGTTAGTTGCAGCCCTATTTGCTGCTCAAAGCAGATAATGTGTCGGGGCTCTGTTAACAAAATATCATATGAACCACTGGACAGAGTTTAATTTTTAGGAAGTGCCACCTGGACGGACATCTGCACCTGATTAGGTATTGGAGTCAACCCAATTCAAGATGACTGACCTTAAAACAGAAAATTTTCATTTTAAATCCGTACAGCATACTGGCCAGAACCTCACAGCAAGATAGTCGCATGTATCAGTCACATGGAGGCAGGGCTTAAAAGCCTGAATTTTGCCTGAAACTCTCAGACTGAAGAAGTCTCTTGGAGGAGAGACGAAACGTTTCATTAAAGAAGAACCCGTCCAGAAGACCTACACAATTTTTTTCTTTTTGATTTTTTACCTGGATTACTGAGATGCATCAGGACACAACAGGTCAGTGGACTCTGCTTCGCTCTGTTCATGACGACAGGTGGCGAGGTCCGCCTCCCGACACTCAAACACAGCATCTTCTRTGGGGCTCCTAGGAATTACATCAGTCAGTTGAATTTGGGGTATCCTCCCCCTGCTCGTTCTCCTCCTGGCTCTCCTCATCGAAAAACTTCTCTGCTGCTTTCGCCGAGCTGAAGCTTATGTTTTTACCCTTCCACCTCACGCACAGCGTGGCTGGAAACGCCAGGATGTATTTAGCGTTGCGCTCTTGTARCTTCTTTTTCACTGCGGTGAAAGCCTTCCTCTTCTTCGCCAGTTCTTTAGTCATATCCGGAAACACTGATAGCCTGCATTCTTGCCACTCAAACCCACGCTTCTCTTTAGCTGTCATAATCACTTTATCTCTCGCTGATTTCCTCAGGAATCGAATAAGAACCGGTCTCGGGGCTCGGTTCGAGTCGGGTAACGATGCGAAGGCCCGGTGGGCTCGTTCAATCTCGAACTCAGCGTCATCACGAACTCCAAGACCCTCAGTTAGCATCTTCCGTACACAGCTCAAAAGTGTCCCATCAGTACCGAGTCTCTTTCAACTCAATAACTCTCACATTATTCCTCTGACTGTGATTTTCGAGAGCTTGCATGCGGTCCAGCATGGCTTCCATTAGCTTGCTTCTCTCACCAACTGCGGTGTGCAGCCGCTCCGAAGTGTCCTCCGAGTGGGAGATGCATGTTTCAGCCTCCGTTAGCCTTTCTTGCATTGCAGCCACCGCTGCATTCAGTTCCAACGTCGTCTGCTTTATTGTGGAGACATCAGCAGCTACGCTTTGTAGCATGTTACTCATTTTAACCACTTCCGAGAACAAATTCATTATATTAGGAGGAGGTGTTTCCTCCTGTTCTTCCTCATGTGGAGGGCTGTTGCAGGTCGACATGCGGCCTATACTCTGAGTGTTTCGTTGCGGCCATTGCAGGATTAAAGTACTTTTTTCCACCGAAAAAGAAGTCTACAAGCCCACACTGCTTCCTCACTTGCTGAGAACGGTATCAAATAAGAGCCCCTTATTACAGTACCGTCATCTAATTACATGTCAGGAACGGAGAGCCGTTAGCCAGCTGCCATCTTGTTCGCCTGTCCACGTGACTCTCGAATCATGTTACAATTTAACAAACTATTAAATATTACTTTGTCCTCTGATTAATATTTAGACCTACAGAGTGTAAAATAATATTATAAATGTC